CTAAATGTTGCAAGTGATTTAAAGAAAGGTATCACCTCTCCATTAGAAACCTTCCATCACATTGCAGGCATATGCAGCTACCATTGCCATACTAAAGCACCCTGCAGAAGCAGGTTGTAAAAAAAAAAAAAAAAAAAATGGCTAATTTGCCAGCTAAATGCAGAAAAAAATAAAGACAGGTGTTTTCCTCACACAAAATAGATGGTATCAACCTGAGAGGAAAGAACAGGCAGCAATAGACAAACAACAGTATTTTCTGATTCTAGGACCACAGTAGTTGTGACAATCATAAAATGTTAAAGAAAACCATGATGAACTTCTGAGAATAAAGGACATGACTAGAAGTTTTAAATAACCTCCCAGGAAATTTGCTTGAAAGCCTTTTTTTTTTATTATTTTTAGCTTTACCAGTGCAACTTCTCGAAGAAGCACCTGCTTTGCAAACACTTTGAAATGTTAGCACAAGTACAGCCATGCAAATATTCACTACATAAATAATTTTTAACTTTCCATAGCAGGAAGTTATTGGAGCAGGGTAGCTGAGGCTATCCTACCAAAACTACCTTTTTGTCTGAACACTTAAACAGATGGCTGATGGATTAATAGGTAGTATGCCACGTAAGCTACTTTATCTCTTAAAATACCTTCTTCACATAGGTCAATGCTGTTTTGTGAGGCACTGCTGCTTGGCTCTGTGGTTTTTGTCCCTGTCACCCATCATCAGGAGGTTGTACTGGCTCACGTGAGCCAGTACAAACTACATATTTGTTTTCTTTTTTGTGCTACTGGCTGGTTTGTGTCTCTAACCTGCTGTCATTATGGAATAGATTAAGTATGTCACTAAAGTATATTAAAAACCAGAAAAAAACCCTTCTCATATTTTAACAATATTTTTTTCCTAGTTATCTTGTGTGGCTTGTATTTTGCATAATGGGACAGATGTATTTATGTATATATTTATATGCTATTATTCCAAATTATGTTCTATAACAAACATCGACAATTTTCACACTGGGAATTTTTCCAGGTAAAGTTTCCCAGTGAACCATCCAGCCATTTGTATACAGACCCATGTTCGAGTTTTAATGTGTTTCAATTTATCCTGCTTAAAAACAAACAACTCCAGACAGAATAGACTGACAGGCACGTGAAAGATCACTTTAATGTCCTTCCCCAACCACTGCAGATATATGAAGCGTGCTATGAACTGGAGCATGCTTAACTCACACTGTGGGAAGCCTTGGATAGGTGCTTTCCCAAATACTGTTGTCTGTGTAAATACTCCCTAGAAATTACTTGATAAGAGAAGGATGATGAAAAATAATCTTAATCTCTGTAGCTGGTATTGGGAGCAATTGATAGTTGATCTTGGTGGAAGCTGGTGGCTGATACACCTACAAGCCCTGGTAGGTACGGCAAAACCAAGTAATCCACGTTGGCCTATTAAGTTGCTACGAAATGTGTATACTATCGATCGTGTGAAGTTACACATATCTGTCTGCTGTTTGGAAAGCGGGTCACTGATGAAAGACAGGAGCCAGGACATGCAGGGATGCAGATCCATGACTGGAGCAAGTGGAAACCACAAATAATTCAGAATTTTTATGAACATGTTATGATCATCACTATGCATACCCACATACGTCACACTGACTTACAATTTTTTTTTTTTCAGTAAGTAATTGGAAATCAAGTAGGATCTTTTAAAAGGAAAAAAACTCTTTCTGAAAGCTGTTATCTTTTCCATCTTGAAAATATTCTCCTCTTTTTTTTTCTTCTTCATCATACTTTCTCCTTCCTCAGGCGTCTTAGCCACTCACTCTCACTTTCTTTCTCTCTTGGTGATTGATGGGGTTTGGGAATGAACTTCAGAGGAGTCTGAAAGAAAAAAATCTCTTCCAGACTGACTATTTTTTTATGAACTCCAACAAATCCATATTGACAGAAGTTCAGAAGACTGGTCATAAAGTACACAGACCTTCATCTCCGTGTTCCCCTTTCAGCTGCAGTTCCAGAGAGTAATAACCAGGAGCTGTCAGTGAACTTCAGTCAGCATCGCTTTCTTGAGGATCCAGACTCGGGACTGATTTTTTGCAGCACAAGTTCACCCTTGCCAAATGGTGTTCTTAACAAACACGCCACTTTCTTCCATTCTTCCATCACTTGGTTTCTGTGGGTTTGTTGTCTGTTTGCATGTTTTTCCTTAAGAGCACATTAGTTTCCCTCTTGCTTCAAATCCTCTCAAGCTGACCTGAGTCACCCACCTCTGTTTTCACAGTCAGTGGTGGAATTACAGCATCTTTTCTCTCTGCATCATCCACATAAGAATTCTTTTTGTCTCCCATAGCACGTTCCTCTTAAAGAGCCCGACCCAGTCTGTAGCAATACTTTACCTTAAAAAATTCCTCTTTCTCTCCTCTAACCATTCTCCACCCCTTCCTCTCCTCTGTCCAATAAGCAAAGTAACTCCAGTACTAAAGATAAGCCTTTTTTTTTTTGAAACTCACTCAGCATTTCTGCCCAAGTTAGATAAAGAATATAGGCCTTCTATTCCCATGTTTAAGTTTTACCTTTAAACTACTGTTTCAGCACCTTTTTACTTTACTTGTTCTGAGGATCCAATTTCTCTTATGTTTCATCTTCCTCTGTCCAGTAGAAGATCAAATATCGAAAGGTAACAAATAGCTCCCAATTTTTCAAGATTTACATCACACTCATGGAGAAAAATCTGAACTCAAAGCATCACAGAGTGACATCTGTGCCACTGCTAATCTTGTTATTTGCGTGTACTAGAGTGTCCCCGAGAAAAAACTCATGTCTCCGATTTACACAATGGCCTCTAACCTCAGAGTTACCTTTTTCTTCCACAGACCCATAAAATGTGCACAGGGACAGAACACGGGCCGCGGCTGACATACAAGCGAGCTGAACTGCAGCAGCTTTAGACCCAGCAGATTCTGATGGTTCCACTTCGGCAGGAGATCAGTGGCCAAGGGAGAAGCAGGACCCTCCGAGGGCACTCAGCCCAGCCAGGGGCTCAGGAGCCACGGAGCATCAGGCACCACAGGGATCTCAAAACACAGCCACAGTTCTTGCTGTGTTTTGAAATTAAACCCAACAGAGGAGAAAATTCCTTGGTACATCTCATTCTTCATTGTTCTGCATGCATACTGTGTGCTGAGGGAACAAAGCCCCTCTGGGCTCCCCACCCTCGGCTCAGCCTCAGACCACGATGGGACCCAAGGGAATCTTCCGCTACTGGGAGCCGCTGAGACACCTGCCAGGTACCTGCTTTAGCTGTTTTGCCTCTTTGGGGCAGGAGATCTCTCCTCTGGGACACACCTGGGACTCCTTCCAGGTACTTGGTGGGTTTGGCGGCCCTCATCTCAAAGGAGCACCCATCCAGGGTGGCAGCCCGGGAACCCTCCTCTGCAGAGACCCCAGATAGCGTGCCTCCTCCAGGAGGAAGCTCCAACTGCACGCACCCACCTGGGACTCCCCCTGGCCAGAAACCAACGGTGGTTTGCCTCTGGTGGAAAGAGCCCCCATGCCAGGGGGCTGTCTGGGATGCCTCCGCGGGAGCAGCACAGATCGGTTTGCCTCACCTGAGACAGAGCTGCCATCCCACCTGTGCACCAGGACCTCCACAGCAATAGTTCCTCCAGGGGTTTTGCATCCTCAGGGCTGAAGCACTCATCCTTTGTGGCTGCAAAGTATTTCTACTGGTGCCCAGCCTGGGTTCTGTCCGCAGAGACCTACCCCCAGGGAAGAGTCACTGCCTAGTAGTTGTTGCCTCCACTGGCAGGCTGTGATTGTAGGAGCTCTGTGCTGCTTGCAGAGCCAGCTGCCCAACTTGGGTTCCTCGCTGGCATAAAGATAGCTCTGTTTCTGAGGGACTGTGCACAAAGGGGGCCCCAGGTAGGTTTGTGTCTGCATGCAGCTCGTCCCACTCCTGGGAAGCAGCTGAGGATTTTTCCCTGGTAGATCCCCAATGTGGCTGTTCACCCTGGAGTGATAACCTCATCCCAGGTGAGAGGTGAGCTCATTGCAGTCTACAACTTCCTCAAGGGAGGCAGTGGAGAGGGAGGTGCTGATCTCCTCTCTCTGGTGACCAGGGATAGGACACGAGGAAATGGAATGAAGCTGCATCAGGGAAGTGCAGATTGGACATTAGGAAAAGGTCCTTCACCGAGAGGGTGGTCAGTCACTGGAACAGGCTCCCCAGGGAAGTGATCACAGCACCAAGCCTGTCGGACTTCAGGGAATATCTGGACAATCCTCTTAGTCATATGGTTTAATTTTAGGCAGTCCTGCAAGGACCAGAAAGTTGGAATCGATGGTCCTTATGGGCCCCTCCCAACTTGAGATATTCTTTGATTCTATGTCCACAGAGATCACACATCATCTCCAAGCATTTCACCTTTTTTTTTTTTTTTTTTTCTTTTTTCTCAGATTCATCAGCATTTCAACTGTCCCAGTTTCTGCCTGCTGGGTATTGAAAAAGCCCTGGTGCCTCTTGCTGTGAGCACTCAAATTCAGCCACTGATGGCTCATCCCTCTCAGAGCACCCAGGAGTGAGTGGACAGAGTCACGGGTGCTCATGGCAATGGGGATTAAAGTAAGTATTTTGAACAACGTGGGATGGATGAGTGTATCCTACCAGGTTTACCTACAACAGTTTACCTGCGTGCTGTCTGCTGGTTTGAGGAGCAAGCACAGGATTATGGGGCTGAGACAGCATGGGCATACATTAGCAGGGCACTGGACAGGGAGGAAGGAGCTGGCGACAGCCCCATCACGCAGGGCAGCAGGTCAGTGGGTGCCATGTCACCGTCATCAGCCAGTCAGTGGTGGCCGTGTCACAGTGGGCAGCAGCAGCACCAGTGGCTGTGTCACCGTGATGTCACAAGGGGTCTGTGACATGGCCGCACAGGGATATAAGAGGAGCCGCAGAGCGGTGGGTCTTGCACCCTGGAGGAGTGTCTGTAGGACGAACAGGGATGAACTTCACCATGGCTGTCGCCAGTAAGAAGCAGCCCGCCAGTGCGAGGCGGAGCAAGATAGAGTTCTGGGATGGGATGAAGGACACCTTCATGATGCCCAGCATCCCCGTCACAGGTATAGGCATCCACAGCCACCACAGGAACGCTGTGGGGACCAACGGTTTTGGCATTGTGTGGGGGAGACTCAGCACTGGAGCCATCTCAGGAGTGTCCTCATCTGGGGCTGGGGACAGCAATGACACTGTATCTGCCAACGCACCAGAGCTCAGGGGACGTTGGAGGGTTGAGAGCCGGTGGGCATGCAGCGTGACTCGCTTTTCCTTTGCTTTCCAGAGCGAACACGCATCTGGGACGTGGTGTCCAGCTACGTTCAAGAACACCTCCTGCTGCACAAGGTGGGGTGACACCTGCATCCTCCTCGTCCACCCAGAGGGGCGAGGAGTCCCTGTGACCCTGGGGCATGGCCTGCAGAGTTACTCTTCCCCTCCTCAGAAAGCAGGAAACTCACCCCAAAAGTCCCCACCGAGGGACAAACAGGGATTGTGCAAGGGGTGGTATCACCTCTGGTAGGTGGTGTTGGTACCTCAGGGCTGATCCCGGTGACTGGACACCCCTCGGATGCCCAGAGGCTGCTCCTGCCCCGACTCCAGCACTGCTTTTTCAGAGAGAAGGGGAATGAGAAGGCTTGGCATCTCCTCACCAGTCTCTCCCCGCTGCCCAGCTGGTGCCTTTGAACAGCAGGAGCAGGCAGGGTCTGGTCCAAAGCACCATCCATGGACGCGACCACCCCAAGCTCTTTTCTCTGCAGCCAGTCCTCACCCGTTGGCCATTCCTTCTCTTCTACTTGCAGGGGGTCCGAATTCCCACCCTCGGCTCCTTTGATGTGGTCCCCACGCACATCCAGGTTGGGAACAAGAAGGTCACTGTCCAGAGGCCCGTGTTTCACCTGGCCAGGAACCTTGCGGTCCACAACCTGATGGAATACAAGGCCTACCTGCCTGGTAAGACTGCACATTCAAACCCTGGCTGGCTGCACAGTCAGGGTGAAGGCGAGTATCGCACCCCTTCTCTGGCTCTGAGACTCTTCCCTACGGCAAACTGTTGCCCCCTCTGTGGGGCAGCAGGTCCAAAACTGGGGCTTTTCTGAGCAATGAGTGCAATAAGCAGCAGCTCCTGGGAAACGCCTGCAGAAAGGGTCACTGGCTGAGCGCCTCTTTCCCCCTTCTGTGGTTTTTCAGGCAATAAGGAGCTAGAGCCCCTCAAGTATGCTGAGGTGGCCGCAGCCGCCTCTGTGTCGCGGCGGAAAGTGGAGATCTGCATCCAAGGCACCATGTCCCTCCTCTCTCAGTGCATGGGGAAGGGGGAGAACGTCGCCCTTGTCCTGAAGGGCATGGGGGTGCTCCTCATCGAAGACAGGAGAGTGCAAATGAATATCTACTCTGATTTCCTGGAGAAGATTACTGCGAGGACGATCCAGGAAGTGGCTGCACTCAAGGTGAACCTTTTGGTTTCCCCACAGCTTGGGTGCATCAACAGCAGTTCCCCAGCACTGCTTGTGTGCGGCCTGCCAGAACACGGCCAGCGGCTCAGGCCAGGCGAGAGCATGGTCCTGCCACCTCTTGCTGCCCGGAACTCCTCCACTATTGAGTGACTTGGCCACGTTGAGGATATCCTGTCATCTCCAATGTTCCTCCATTGCAGGTTTTCCAGATGCTATCCCCCACGGTACCCATTGCTTCCCTGACCTTCACCGGCCGCGTCATCATCTTTCCTGAGTGAGTACTTTGGTGGCTGTTGCCTCTGGTTGACGCAGCTGCCTAGCTGAAGTTTGGTAGCTTCTGCTCCTTGGGTTCACAAGTGTTCTGGTGTGAGACACTGTGCAGTGACTCTCATTTGTGTCTGGCCCGAAGTCATCCTTGTGAGCAAATCTAATGGGACAGATGGAGGACTTTAGGTAACAAACTCTTCCCCTTGTGGCTAGGACTTCTCTTCTGGGTGACCTCATTGCCCAGGACAGCCCTTGGGGATGGGGCATTGTTGACTTAGGAGAACAACGGCCCTTACGGCAATACCGAAATCTGCCTGCAAGCGAGTGATCGTGGCAAGTGGCAACTGGCAAGGGCTGGTGGTGCCGTGGGTCACGCTGGTGTCATCTCTTTGTCTCCAGCTTTGAATTGGAGTTTGTGCCCAAACCACCACCCAGCAGGGCCCCTCACAAGGTTGTCAGACATGTCCCTGCTGAGGACAACATGCAGAAGAAAGAAGAGGTTTTGTCACCTCCCAGGCAGAGCAAGAGAGGTAAAGCAGCTCCCGGCTCCCTTGCATAGCGCGGACAAGCAGCTTCTGTAGTGTGATGGGCAAATCCCCAGTGGCGATTGTCAAAAGGGTCCCACTTGTGCCGAAGCTGTGGGACAGCTCAGCACAGCCTGCTGATGACCCCTTGGCTTCCACAAAACTGAACCCCAGGATGGGATGTGCCCAAGGGAGCAGCGGAAGGGTGGCAATCTGTCCTGGGTTTCAGTGAGTGCTGGGGTTCAGTGAGTAGCAGGGGAGGGGGCTACAGCGGTGGCTCCTGTGAGAAGCTTCTCAAAGCTCCACTGGCTCCAAGGCAGACCCGCTTCTGCAGCAAGGCCGAGCCAATCAGCTGTGCCTCTGAGATAATGTAGTTAGGAAGGGGACATGGGAGGAGGAGTTGGAGTTGTGAGGAGGTAATGGGTAAGGGGTGATTCATCCCTCCCTGCTCCATCTCGAAACCCAAGCCTTGAGGCTTATTTTCTTATTCCTGGGGCTGGAGGGGAGGGGGGAGTGAGCAGCTGCATGGTGCCCAGTTGACCTCTGAGCTCAAACCGCGACACATCCCAAGGCCCCCAGGAAATGACCCCTCCGCAAGAGTCCCTGTCCCGGCACCGGCACCACCCAGCTCCTCTTTCCCAAGTCTGACACTGATAACATGGTCACAGAACCACGCTGTGCCATGGAAATGAGGAGCTGGGAAAGAGCCAGCGTCAGAGTGGCTGCGAGGGGAGCAGAATGGCCCTCTCAGATGTTCTGGGAGGAGGCCTGAGCACCCCTACGTGTCACCAGGGCTGGCAGTGTCCCAGCAATGCTCTTCTGACAAGGTCTCTCCTTCTCAGGTCCACTGAGATTGGGTGAACTGCGCTCGTTTGAGGATTGCAACTTGACCCCTGATGAAGCCCCACAGCTCTGGAAAACAATAATGGAGAGCAGGGAGAAGTTTTTGTCTGGGTCAGTCGGGAAGCTCAGGGCTGGTGCCCGCACACGGTTGTTTTCTAACCCAGCAAGAGCCCGTTCCCCAGCCCCAAACACTCACTGTGTTCAATCACTGCTCAGCAGTGGTGAAGGCAGAGCCTGGAGGGGGGGCATAGGGCTCTGAGGAGCCCCCAGTTGCACAGGGCTAGATCTTCTCCAGCACTTCAGGAGAGCAGCCCCAGCGCAGGGGCCTGGGGCCATGGGGACAGCCATGTGTCAGCTGAGGGTCCCAGCTCAGGGGTTTTCCTCAGCTGAGCTGCTGGTGGCTGTGCAAAGAGGCGCGTGGCTCACGGGGGCAGGATGTGGCCCCAAACCTATCGTGTCCTCAGGCAGACCCCTCCTGTTGTGTCCTTTCAGGTGGCTGCCAGTGGTCCCCGACGACTCACCCTGAAAAGGGCAGCGGGTGACCAGCCAATCCAGGGGCAAACCCATGCCCAATAGCCAAGCATCCCAGCAGAGCCGAGCTCAGGCACTGAAACCTCAACGGTGCAAACAAGGAGAACAAGAAAGAAAGAAAGTTCCTGTCGGAATCAAATTACCGTCAGTGAGGTGTGAGGCCAGGATGCCTGAGGAGCCTCCCGCCTACAGGGTCTTCATTCCGCAGCCACTGACACTGGAGGTGGCACAATTACTAAAATCAAGGCCAGAGACGTTCTGGTCAGTGCTGAAGGAACCGCAGAAGACCGTATTAGCGGGATACAGCTTTGAGCCCTCCCTTCTTGTGCCACCAATGTATGAAGAGTCCAGGTCTACGCAATGCCACCCACTGAAGGCCAGATCAGCAGTGTCCAGGATGGAGTGGCCCTGGCTGGAGTGATCAGGGCTTGGGGTGCCTGGAGCAGAGGGAGTAGCACCTGAGGTGGCAAAACAGGTCCGTGATTCAGATCTGTGTCATTCTTGGGTGCTGTTCCCTTGTAGAAAAGCAGAGTTAGAGTACAGTGGGGACTCTTCAAAGACTCCAAAGTTCCACTTGATGATCCCATCTCAGGCTTTTCCATCACCAGGGGCGAGGGGCTTATTTTCCAATGTTGGCCTCTCTTCTGTAGCCCCAGGAAACACACAAGACAATCTGATTTTGCCATGTTTGGAACACTTAACGAACTTCAAGGCTGCTGTGGGACATGCGGGTGCATAGCTGAGCCTGGGAGGAAGAGAGGGGTGGGAGGAGGTGTTTTCATGATGTGGTAATGCTTCTCAGCATCCTCCTCTGTCTGTTAAGTGGTATTGTTGTTGTTAGTGTCTGTAATAAATTTATCTTTTCTTCTTCTCCTAATGAGTCTGTCTTTCGCCTCGACTCGAATGGGTGATTCATCCCTCCCTGTCTTACCAAGACTTTGCTTCTTATTTTCTCCTTCTCATCACTGGGGGATAAAGGGAGACAAAGTGGCTGTGTGGTGCTCGGTTGCCCTCTGAGCTCAAACCACGACAGTCTGGCACAGCAGTTGGGAAGCAGTAAGGTGCTCTTAGGTAGATTTGCTCCCCGCTTCGGTTGAAGAACCGAAATCTACCTATTTTCCTCATTGTCGCAGCCAAGCAATTCAAAGTGACAAATTCCCCTTCATAATAGTCATCATAACTGGGGTCTGTGGAGAGTGTAGGAGCTGGCAGAGGGTCTGGGGATGAAAGAACGGATTTGAAGGATGGGAGGGAGATTTCAGGGAGGAAAAGGGAATGGGGCACCCCTTTTCCCTCCATTTTATAAAACACAACTCAACCTCGCCTCGTGGTCAGAGGCTCAGTTCAGCTGGAGAGCATCTTCTGAGAAGTCAAGCTGCACTTACCCACAGAGGACAGAGCCAACGGTAGCAACTGGAGGAAAGCTGTGAGAGAGGGGCATTGAGATGACAAGAGAGATGAGGCTGCAAAAAAGAGAGAAAAGAAGTCACTCACTTAGACAGCAACTGCCCTAGGACATCCTGCCCCTTCTGGCCATCAGTCAAGAGGGCAGCTCCTCCACAGCACCATGCACTCATGCAGGTCATGGTTACTTTTTGTGCCACCGTGGCATGGAAAGTCTAAACCGCTCGCAGAGAAAGCCTGTGAAAACATTTTCACGTGCCAATGAGGCTGCCTCTGGGAGAAAAATCGCCAAAATTCGGCACGTCCCTGAACTTATCTTTTAGCTACATGCAACATGTGTTAGATGAGATAATTTCTTCTGTTAGAAGCAACTCGGTGATTGCCAAGCAATTGATTGAGATCAGCACTGGGAAATAATATCTTGTAACTTAAAGAAATGGGGCTGCTGGAGGCCTTACAGGGTTAGGAAGGACAAGAGATCTCATGGGTCCTGTCAGGGGAGAAGGGAGGGGTTGAGCCAGGGTGCAGGACAGGAGGAGCTCAAGGTCTACTTGCGTCAAACACCAGGCTGCAGAAAGGCCTATTTGGGGTTCCTGGCCAATGACGAGGTGGGGGTTGTTGCCTAGATTAGAGATGAGGAGGGCCTGCGGAGCTGTGGTGGGCTGGCCCTGGCCGTCACACCAGCCCCCCACAGCCACGGGCTTCCCCCTGCCCCCAGCAGGACAGGAATAAAGAGTAGGAAGAGCAAAAGTAAGAAAAATCACAGGTTGAGGTAAAGAAAGTGAAGTAATGGGAAGAGAAAGGGAGGAAAAAACCTAACCAAGTGATGCAAAAGTAATCACTCACGACCTCCCCTATGGGTACAGGGATGTCCAGCCAGAGCCCGAGGAATGGCTGCCTGCCCCAAACCCCCTTTCCCTCAGTTTTTATTGATGAGCATGATGTTATAGGGCTTGGAAAAATCTCTTTGGTCATTTGGGGTGAGCTTTTCTGGTTGTGTCCCCTCCCAACCTCTTGTGCATACCCAAGCTTCTCCTCTCAGGGCAGAATGGGAAACAGAGAAGGCCCTGACCCTGTGCAAACCCTGTGATTGATAGCCAAAGCTCTGTTGTGCCATCATCACGCTCTTAGTCATAATCCAAGATGACACCGTTATGGGCTGTTATGAAGGAAACTTGGTTTCCTTTAAGATGGCTGCTCTTAAAAATAGCTGTCAACTGAGACAAGAAAATGTCTGCATATGAATCATTTCACGACAGGGCTGGATTCCCAGCAACGGACGCACCACGGTTTTGGCCTCAGCGCCTTGAATGACCGCTGAGACCAGCTTGGTGCCACTGAAGAATTTCACCGTTACCACAGAACCAGCCTGCAGAAAAAATTCATCTCTAAACTCCTAGAAGTATTTGTGCACCGCAACTCACAACTCACTTGCAAGGAGCTCTTTTAAACTATTAGAAAGCAGAGAGAAAGAAACTTTCCCAAGACCGCTCGCCAGTCAAATGCAGCCGTGCCTGCTGAGGCAAGGGTGGTTGGGCAGGCATGCACTTTGTAACACTCCATTTCTCTTAGAGATTATACGGAGTCCAACCAATTACTTTTAAGATACCTCTCTATTATTTCTATAATCATTTACTTCCTTCTGGCACATCATATCCTGAAAGGATTCCACATTATTTTAGACAGCATCACTGAAATGCAACTAGTTCTTGGTGAAAGGGCAGCAGCCACTAGACAGGAGTACTGCAGGGCAGCTGGGAAAGAGAGAACGAAATTTTGGTCAGGAAAAGCAGTGGGAAAGCTTCTCTCCCCTACCCTCCCCCAAAAGACATGGTACCTTCAGTGCACAGAAAACAAACCACTCACCTTTTCAAGTCTCACCTTAAAAGTCCCATGAAAACAGCATTTTATCTACTTAAAAATAACAAAGGGACAGTTAGTTCCAAGTTCTTAGGTTAAGCTACTGTTCAGCAGCTTTAATCTCACCAAACTCAATACAACTGTGCCTCAATCCTGAATCCCAATTGCCTTCTACTGCCACAGGTTTTCTTGTAACAAGTCTAAGATGCTGAAGACTGAATTCAAACTTCATCCGTCAAACACTGCTTAGTGCCTGTCATGTTTCAATTACCATAAACCAGTGGTCTGAAATACCCTGTCTCACGTTTTTAACTCATTTTATGTTACACATTTATCATCAGTTAGGCCCGCACAGGCATCTGAATTTACTGGAGAACACGGATACGCCTTATGGGTATGCAACTATGATCTTCACATACCTAAGAGCCGGAATTAAATATGCCGCTGTGAACACAGACTATATAAAAAGATGTATTTTTCACTTCTAGATGTAACTGCCTATAGCTGACGCATTCCAATCTCAGTTCTCCTCACACCGGTCGCTTATGTATCACAGTTACTTAATAGCTGGTGCTAAAACACCGGTACAGATAGAGCTGTTCACAGCACCACCGCTATTTCAGCTAAAGGGACGAGGGGATGTTGATTAGACTGCCTCCCGCCAGCGCACTGGTCTTCCAGCAAACCTTCCCCTTTATTTACAGCCAGGAAGCCACAGTATCTCTGCTCTCATGAGCGGAACCACACACGTGTGCACCACGCACACAGTTACTCAATTCCACTCAGCAGTGCATCATGCGGGGTATTGAAAACAACTCGGGAGCATTGCAAAGACGAGCCTTCCCAAAACATTATCCTAGAAATGAAATGGGACGGCAGAATAAAAGTTTCATCTAACCAACGCACTCAGGGGTTGAAGGCTGAGACCCAGCAGACACTTTCCAGAAAGGAACGTTACCGTACTCACGCAGCGTCTGTGTTCTTACCTCGCCTGTGCCTACCAGTAACTGCCTCTCGGGCTCTTACCAGCAAAAACTCTCCCTTTTTGGCTAGCCTCAGCTGTATGGTGCTGCAGACATTTCACTCTCCCCGTCATGCGGTGCAGCTTTTCAGTCCACAAACATTTTAACGCAAGAAGTTTTTAGGAACAGCCAAACCTCTTCAAGACTTTTCCTTCCTGACAAGAACATGCCCACGGTTTAGACCCATGAGCTTTGACAACACCACACACTATTTCTAGTGCCATACAAAATTACTCACCGCATTTCTGTTCTCTTGCGCAGCCATCCTTTGCTATTCAGAAAAGATTCTGAACACTAAGGAAGAAAGTCCCATTAAACCTTTATCATTTGAGGTGTTCAGTTGCGATCGCCTAACAAAACAGGAGTTACTTTTGCACATTGCCCGTTTCCCCCTTTATTCTTTAGTGAACTTAAACCTACCCACAACGGCGCGTCCGTCTCTTCAGCGAGCATGGAATCACAACGTTCCCACCTGCCCGACGGAAAACCTGGCACAGCCCTGGCACGTACGTATTCAATGCAGCCAGTGGAGGCAGGCGGCAGGCACAGACAGGCAAAGCCAGATTTCTGCTAATAAACGTGGGTTTTTTCCTTTTACAAAAGGCACTTCATTAAATACAGGCCACTCCTGCGGGAGCCCGGCAGCCGCACCGCTGCCCTCCCTTCCCCCAAAAGTTGCCCCCTTGGACGCGGGCGCACGGCCCTGCACAGGCACCTCCGGGGGAGCCCAGCACCTCTCCCGTTTTGGGGGGGGACATGAGGCACCTCTCCCGTTTTGAGAGGGGGGGGGGGGGATGAACACGGCACCTTCTCCCCCGTTTTGGGGGGGGGATGAACACGGCACCTCCTCCCCCGTTTTGGGGGGGGGATGAACACGGCACCTCCTGTCCCGTTTTGGGGAGGGGGATGAACACGGCCACGCCGAGCGGCGCGGAGGGGGCGGGCAGAGGCGAAGCCCCTCCGGCAGCCGCCGCCGCCTCGTCCCTCGCGCGCTCCCAGACCTTCCCCTCGCGCCTCCCCGCGCTTTCCCCGGCGCTTCCCGCCGCGGCGGGCAGCCGCCCACACGCGCTCACCTCCCCCGGCCCCGCCCCCCGCCCCGCCCCGCCCACGGCCGAGCGCCCCCCCCCCCGGCCCGGGGTCGGGGCTGCTGCGGCACCGAAGGGAAGAGCTGGGAGCCGGGCGGGGTTCGTGCTGTGAATCAGTGCACAGGCACCTCCGTGGGGCAGGGGGAGCACTGCGAGTACTGGATGATTTTGTGCCGCTGTCAGAGCGAAAGGAGAATTTTCCTGTCGCGGGGCTGAAGTGGCATCTGCTGTGCGGTTGCCTGTGGCTTCCATGGCAGCAGAGAGACTCCTGAGGGCTCTTTCCAGTCCGTTTACCCTGAGTGTGGGCATTAACGTTTTCACTAAACGTCTCCAATCACGGGGGGGGGGGGTTCCTCAGACAGTGGGGTGACGAGGTGGAGGGTCAGATCTACGCGTGGGGCAGGGGCTGCAGCTAACCCCCCCGCCTCCCGCTGCAGGAACGCCCGCTGGCAGGGGCGCTGTGAAACAATCCTCAACCCTTTAAGGACTGAAGAAGGAAAGAGAGAGATGGGAGAGGGCTGGGGCTGGGGCTGGGGCTGGGGCGGGCGGGTGCGGGTCGCCTGTCCCAGGGGTTGTGCCCCACAGCTTCTCTGCCCAGCTGTCAGAAGCGGCCGGGGGGGTGTGGGGCACTCTGCCCCGCGGGGTCCCTCAGGGCTCTGGCTCGCTTGGTGGGCACGCTGCTGCCATGGGATGCTCTCCGCTTGCTGCTGCCCACCGCTGCGCTGTCCCTGTGCGGCAAGTGGGTCCAACCCCCCCGGGGCTGCCTCCGCAGCGCCTCCCCCACCAGTGGGGCCCTGAGGGGCGGATGACACTGGGGGGCAGCCGGGGGGCTGGCCGGGGGGCTCAGCAGCGGGATGCGCAGGTGCCGCGGTTGAGAGACGGGACGCAGCTTGATGCAAGCAAAGTGTCCGACTTATTGGGATTCTTCACATACTTTTATACTAGTTCCTAGATAGCGTGTTGCCAACTAATTGGTTTCTTTGAAGCATGCCAAAGATTTATTGGCTTACATTCTACATTAGGCATTCAGAGATTAGCTAATGCTAAAGGCTTTTTTCTAAACTTTTACTTTCTAATTGCAACAGTCCTACCTACAAAAAGAATAACTCTCAGTTACAGGACATCTGTTCCACAGCGCCTAATCTTAACACAGACACCAAGTCAGCACCCCCTGTTCCTCCTACACGAAGTTCTTATCTTATCCTTCCCAAGGCCTGTGGCCGACAAGTTCCAGCACGTCTCCTTCCATCAATTGTGCAGTGCTGGGGGTTTTGCTGAGAGCAGCCAAACCCTGCCCTACAGTCCCCAGTATCCTCTAGCTTCATCTTGGCTCGACAGAATATGATCTTTCCTGGTGAGGGAGACTCTCCAGACCTACTCTGTTTCAGTTTATCAGGGGCCCTGAGAGTATTTTTCCTGTATTTTGGCCAAACCCGAAAATCCCCGTTCGCTATCCTGATCGGAGCCCGGATCTATCCTCTCATCAAACACCTGCCTGTTTTCTTGCAATTCATACTGGAAGATTTTCTCTCAGTCTAGTGAATTTGGCAAAATTGCATGAAGCCTCTGAGGAGTGTTATGGTCAGCAGTGAGATGACTTTTCAAGTTTCTTATCAGCTCTTGCAAGCACTCAATTGTCTCTTTCTCTGCTTGCTTTTCCTTTCCAGCCGCAATTAACGCAGCCCCTAGAACAGCACAGACGGTTGCTTTTCCTTTCCCCAATCCCAGTTTTCACTCCTTTGCCAAAAGCGTGATCCTATCCACCAATGCTTGCCAATTCTTTTGGGCCCAAGCCATGCCAAGAGGAGAGCACAGGGATTTATAGCCCTTCAATTTCTCAAGAAGGGGCTTCTCTGCTATTGTTGGATCCCCAAATCAATCCCGATAACAACTGTTACACAATACAAAAGGGTTACTCTAAAGTATTCAGCCTAGTGTGCGGTTACGGACCCAGTGTGGATCTTTCCAAGAAGATCCACTGTCCTCTCTCCTGTCAGGCACTTCCTTAAAGAAGGGGCCATGCTAAGGGCCCTGATCCCTTCTGGTTGGATCAGTATCACAAGGGCATCCTGTCCGTGACGACAATTTAGAAATGCTGCAGCCCAAAAGAAGCTGTTCAAAACAGCCTCCCTCCCCTTGGGACCTACGACCAAGTTTGAGATACTCTCGTACTGAATTGAGGTGAAACACCACCAGCCAACCCGTTTAACAATTTCTTAATACAAAAGACATGGCAAGGGGTTAGATACAAATACTCAATGGCAACTTCTTAACTAGGTAAACAAGTCCCATGCTTACTTGGAGCTAGTTACAATTTGTTAAAGAAAGGAGAATAGAGAAAGAGAGAGAGACAGAGACAACTTGTCTGTTAGATTTCCCTTCCCTTCCTTAATACAATGCTTAAGGAACCGTCCTGGATCTTTGTGGCAAGCACAAGTAATTAAGAACCTGGGCGTCACAAGGATGAGGCAGGTCTTAATATTCAGAGCGTATCCACGCCTGTACTTATTGTTGTAAGGTGTTTCAAGACTCCCAGCAACGTACATTTTCGGTTACAGTCCCTGTATACGCACAAGACTCGTGAAATACTCAAGCTGTCTGAGAAAGGGTATTGACATAGCCAAAAGCTTCAGCATGATGAGGTTCTGCAAAATCAAGTTCTTTCACATAACGGTTTTTATTAACTTTATGCTCCACCTTCCTGCATGGAGACTCCATAGGAGACAAGAGGACGGCAGAGTTTGGATCACTTGGAGTTAAGTCCACTAGGGGAGCAGAATCACGGACGCTTCCAAGAGAAATTTCACCCGATTCCTTCAGTGAAGCAGGTGGGATTAGAGGGCAGGCATCTCGAGCTCTGAAGATGTTCTGAATGAGCTACTCCACATCTAGGCTCCATGGCACCAGGTCAGTTGGGATGGCCTGTTCCACCATCACCTTGCTGATTTTCTCCTCCTCCTGAGAAGAAGTTGGTTTTTCATCCAGAACATTTTCAAGCATCTCTTGATACACAGCAGAACTGGAGGGAGCTGGATCGCTCGACCCAGAAGTTGTGGCGGTCAAATGCTCTTCAAATGAGTCAGTCCCGTTAGCGGTGTCCTCATTAAGAAGCAGCCCACTGCCTGCCACCTCCTCCAGAGCTTGGTCCTCCGTGGTGAGGCTGCCTGGCATCGTGGCACACAACGCTAACGGCTTCCCCTCTGAGTCCCACGGGGACTCCAGGCACTGCTCATCTCTCACAGAGCTCTTCTGAGCCATGCCCAGGCCCTGCACCAAAGCTTCCAGTTTCTTGTTTGCAATGCTTATGCCTATGAAGCATTTCTGAATTTTTTTGTCTTTCTCAGCCAAGCTGTTTCTCATGCTTTCAACAGCCTGCTGAAGTTCGTGACTTTCCCTTCTCGCTTCCCAGAAGTGCAGCTCCAGCTCCACATGCTTACACTCTTCCTCAACCCAGTCTTCCTTCATCCGTGCCAGCTGAGCCTTGAGCTCTTCTATTTCTGTTTCCCTGCAGCAAAAGCAAAATGCAGTGGCAGTGCTGTGGACGGCCAGTGAAAGAGTGCAGCGCTTGCCGTCTGGCCTCCTGCCTCGCCCTGGAGGCGATGGGAAGCGGCTGCCCAGATGCGTCCCCGTGCCTGCCAGCAGCTCGGCACCTGCAGCCAGAGCCAACACGGGCCTCGGGCACAGGACGGCTCGGGGCTGCAGCCCCCGCCTTGCTTTGCACCCACCCAGCCCCGTGTGGGGCCAGGGGCTGCTGCCTTGGCCTGCGAGGAGTGGGGGAGAGGGGGCCCCCACGTGAGATCCAGCCCGCGCAGATGCGGAGGTCGGGCGATGCGAGCGGGACCAAGAGCTCCCTGGGCCTCTGGCCCTGGGGCTCCGTGCAGAGCCCGCTCTGTGCCCGCCTGGGTTGTGTGTCACTGCTTCGCTTCGCGTCCATACAAAGGGCTGTTGTGAACCATTCAGTCCCCAAGGGGCAAAACCACCAGTGGGCACGCTGGTGTGTGTAAGAGCTTTTCTTTCCCTAGGGGAGAAGGGGGACTTTGGTAGCCATCTGTCTCTGAGCGAGGTGGAACAGGAGATGGAGCAAATACATGCTCGCAGGTAAAAACCGCTTGATGTAGAAAAGGTCTCAGTGCTAAATCAGCCTGGTAAAAAACTACCCTTTAAAAGTATTCTATTGGGCAAGTTCAAAAAAAGGGAAAAGAGACAAACAGCTGTATTCTTAACTAAGCCGCACGGTACGTATGCACTGAGCATCACGATGAAACCGGAAACAACTAATCAGTCTGATCATATTTCAAATTTCTTCATGAAATCTTTACATGGTCAGAAAATGAGGAAAAAGGTCCTGGATTCCCACCCCGAAACGCTCCTGAGTAAATCGTTCTAACTCTGGTTTCTGAAGTGAGATATACCTTTCCTGAAGTTTGCTCTCAGACTCCTTCAGCTTTGTTTTCAAATGCTGTACTGTAACTTCTTTCTGCCGCAGATGACTCAAGTACTGCTCTTGGTTTTGTGGCTCAATGCCGTGGTTGTCACCACAAGAAATGTATCTCCCTGATCGCCTGGAAAGGGAAGAAACCCAAACCGTCACAGAACATCACTCCTAGAGGTCTTCAGTCCTGCCAAAAAGAGACTTCCCATAGACCGATACAAAGCTTGACTCATTTGGGGCTCCCCAGTGTCCTCACAAGTGGCTCCTCTGGCAAATCAACATCCTTGAGGAAACAGCTGGTTTGTGGCTGTCGTGCAGAGTTTACTATCTGCTGTCCTTGGTTTCAGTGCCATGCCATCAAATGAGACATTTAACTTTAAAATACTTTTACAACAAAAACTTCTTAGAACTCAAAAACCTTCTTTTTTTTTTTTTTTTTTCCTCCAAATACAGCTCTTTTTTTGTTTCTTTCTCGTATCACAGTTCTCATCTGTGTTAGTGTTGCCTGAGAGCATAGTGTTACCCAAACTGTTTTAACACTCACAATACTGATGCTGTATGTATTAGCTGCAAGACCAGACCTAGTCATCTACCTCTGCACTAGCAACACTTGCACTATCCCGGAAAAAACTGCTGTGCTTACTCGAGAGAGAAAGATCTTTTGCTTCCAGCAGCAGACATGGGGACTTCATGCGCTGAAATAGTGCCTGTGCTGCTTGGAGAGATGAAATTGGCTTCACTCCCTGGAAAGGAAAAGGGAAGATTGGAAACATGATGGAAAGTAGAACACAAAGACTGTTTTCCAAATAACAGCAAATCACAAGCATTCTCCCTTTGTGCGTGCTGGGTGAACTTTAGAAGTTGCATGAATTTTCAACCATCCCTAAGGGCAAGCACTGGATTTTCAACATGGCTTCAGAACTGGCACTTCCAGAGGAGCAGGAGAAACATCTGGACACGAACCCCTGATGCTACAGAAGCCATGTTAGGACTCGGTGGGGACGTCTTGCACCCCTCCATACCCGGGACCCGTGTCTTCACAGCCTTAAAGAGGGTGAGACATCCACCAACCACCCTCACCTTCTGGCAGCTCTTAGCAAGCGGTCTGAGGATCAGCCCTGTTCGGATTTAACCCAACACTTTCCCAGCCTCCCCATGTGCCAGCGTTGGGATCAGCCCCTGTTTCTCTGTGCCTCTCGTTCAGCCCAGCCCAGATATTCCTCGGCTCGAGCTGAGTGCTGAAATGCACAGCCCAGCTCGTGCAAAGGGTAATCCCAGGGGCCCAGTTTCACCACCGCTAATCAACTCCATGCCAGTACAACACCCCTGATGATCAGACCCAAGTAGCCACAGCTGGAACCAAATCAGAGCCACATGCAAGTCTGCAAGGGAAGGGAGGGAAAGCAGCAAAGCCTCTTCGTGTCACAGAGTATTTATATCATTCCTACAGATGCAGGTGTCAGTGACCCTCCTCCTTGGGGAACCAAAATGACCGTGGGACACAATGTCTGAAGCTTCCACAGTCTTTTCCTGATAAACAAAATGCTCCCATCTAAGAGACTAAGATACTAAATTCTCTCTTGGTATCACGGTCCTCCCAAATCTAATTTTCCAAGCAAGACCCGAATGGGTAAACACATCATACAGATTTCATACCTCTGGTGTTCAGGCCCCCATATCATTCCACCCCTTTAAAGATGCCAGCAGCTTTCCAAAGCCACGTCCTGGCTGTGGCACAGAGAAGAGGAGCCCTAGCCAAGAGTCGTCTCTGGTTAAGTAGAACACATCATAACCAGATGTCGCTATCAAAAGGTTTTTGAGGAAACGAGGCTTAATAATAGCCTCTCCCTGAGCCGCCTGGCTTGCAGCGTAGTGCTGGGAAGGGCTGCCGAGCTAGGCACGGCTGGTAAGAGTGAGCAGAGCCTGAAAATGGAACCGCCCCAAAGGCTGAGCTTTCTGAGAGCGTGAACTGCATCTGAGACCCAGCAATGTGTCTGCAAAGCATAAATTAACCTGCCTGGCCCCAATTCTGAAAACAGCTACACACAAGCTTAACACTGAGCACAGGAGACTACTTTTGCTTAAAATTAGGCATGTGGCTATTTACAGGCTCTTCAAGAACATTTTAAAAATTAAAGGGGTCACTGCTAGTATCGGTTCCAAGTGTGCTACTTATGCTCAAGCCAGCTCTGCGTAGAGCAGAGCTCAACAGCACTGGTACTAGGAGAGCTTGAAAAATATTTTCTCCCATTTGGTAAACATCCCTAAGAAAAACATCATGGCATCCATCCATAAAATATTAATTGCAACAGATTCTCCTGGGTAATTGGGACTTCTGTCTTAGCAACACCCTACCAAAGCGGTGAAACTCCGTGCCTAGCAGCAGTGCGGGCAGGAGCCGAACACGGCCTCTCACCTCTCCTAACGCCGCTCTCCCGGCTGACAGCTCCCTAGGGATGCCTGTTGACTGGTTTTGTCGCTGGGACAACGTGATTGCAAAAGCTCACACGTTTAAGCCCCAGAAGAGCTCACCGAAGCAGCGTTAACCATGAAAGAGGGTAGCATTTCTCAAGAAACACATTCTTTTGTCCCACCCGTGCGGTGCAGCCATCGCACCCACGTTTGGGTGTGGAAGTGGCCCGCGTTTAACTCTGCTCTTTGCACTGTGTGCAAGGACAATGACACGGTCCAGTGACCTTATATCCCACTGCATTCAGAGCGCTGACGGGTAGAGCAGATTAGGTATATTTGCTCTACTGGGACAGGATGCAAGCACAGAAACACCACGTCATGCATGTATACATGTGTGTTGAGACAGCATATACATTCCTTACACAGGGCCACGCAATAGCCCCACATGCATGCCTGGTGTATGGCATCCCAGTCTGCTATTTCTGGCCATTACAGGTGGTCGGATACCTTTTTGGATGGTCTCCTGGCCTTGCTATTACCATTTTGCTTGTACTAGACCGTTGAAGATTTTTCCTCCTATAAGAATAAAGCTCAAACCTGCTTGTGTGCATTTTATTGTCCATCGGCTATCTAAATGGTAAGATTACAGTATGGGAGAAAGGAAAAAGGTCAAGGAATATCTGTGACAGGAACACTGCCAGCTGACCACAAGAACAGGATTCCTACAACTCAGGATGTAGATGAGCTTATGAAAGTTTAGTCTTTTTGTGTAACTCGTTTGTATTTGCAACTTCAGCACTATTTCATAGCTGCCAAAGTCTAGATACCATGGAACTTAACTTGCCTCTCTTCTTACTGCATAAACATGACCTTGTTATGTATATACATACATCTATCAGTCCTGATGCTGGGTTTTGCATATAGTCACACAGTGAAACACAGCTGTGAGTAAAACAGTGCTGACAGAGACAGCTTGTGCTCAAAACCTAAAGCACCTAAATTTGCTGAGCTTCCTTGCCTTCAAAAACATCCTGTCACGTGGGAAAGAGACCAAAATATGAACATGTATGTTCACCACTCTGCTGCAGCAACTAGAGGAATAACTGGAACACTGTCTCTGTCGATGGCTTTATTTAGAGAGCCCAGGGGGAGAGAGAGGGCCTGACTATGTAAAAACACCCAGTAAAGCCATTAGAAGCAGCTGGAAAAGTGGAGAGAATTCAGTTGTAATGCTCACTGTTGGAAGGACCCGCATGTTTAAGAGACTGAGATTAATTTATCCTAGAAACCTTTAACTCACAGCTACGTCTCTACTTCCCATCTTTAACAGCATAAGCAGTGTGTTTCCAGGAAGCATTAATGCTGCTCCTATTCTATTTCATATGAGGTTGTTCCTGCGAGATTGTTTTTGTATTCTCCCTCTGCCCCTGTCTCATACTCTCCACGACCATGAGGTCTAAAGTCAGTGGAAGAAGCTGAGGATGTGCCTGGGCATGCCGAGAAGCAGGTCGGCTTGAAAAGCACCCGACAGCTCGGTGCTGGCTCCTCTCTAAGACCAGGGTGGGTGTTTCACACCGCACCAGAGATATCAGGGTCCACACAGGAGCAGCCTGAGGAAAGCTCCCTTCTGCTGCCTGCTTTACTGGGGAAAGGATCCAGCTGGGATCTGCAGGGCCACATTGAGCTTTGAACTGGGAGGAGGCTGCACATCCCCTCCCCATCACACCACCTGCGACACGCACAGCATCCAGCAGTAAGGACCGGACGAGGAGACGGGGTTCCCATCCTCCCAGCTTCTCATGGCCCTCTGCAGGAGGTAGGATGCCTGCCTGTCTTCATTACTCCCTGCTACATGCTGGAATCCAAACAGGCCTGAGTTCCCCACAGCTCCCACTTCCATCAGAAGACCCTACCCAAGATCTGCAACCAACACTTTCTCCTTGTCACACATAACACTACAGAACAGGACTGGCAAGTCCATTTTACGGCTATTCTGCCTGTTACATTGCTACATTCACATGTGAAAAAGAGAAAAAAAAAAATAATACAAACCTCTCTCAATGGGGTCATTAGAACGGTTGCTCTCACAAAGGTTGTTCAGGACCAGGTCAGGCTCAGCAAAGACCTGCTGAGCAAACGCCCGAGCTGCCGACTTCTCGGAGGTCTCCTCCCGTCCTGCAGCAGTTCTGTCTGCTGGCGTTCGCGAGGTTCCTGCCGAGACAACGCCGCCTGTGAAACATTCAGGCTTTAGCTGTCACTTCTCTGATCTGGAGGAACGACTCGGCAAACAACATAATGACTGAGGACATCAGTATATGCAGCACCTGGTCCCTCCAGCCTCTATTTCTGCAAAAAGCGTTCACAGGAGAAAGTGCTGGAAAGCAGGCTCGCATGGCACCTGCGCAGGAGGAAAACCCCTGTGGGCTAGAGGGAACTTCTTCCTTGATGTACTGGTTTTATTTTTGGTAAGCCTGGCAAGCGTCTGGAGAGTGGCCAGACTAAGCCTTTCCTGCTGCTTTAGTGTGCCCTGATCTCCAGACACGTGGCTTTACTGGCGTGGCAAACAGAGATGGCAGTTAGCCGTGGGGCAAGTGGAAGGTGGTCCAGGATTTGCTGCACTTTCCAGCATTCGTGGGTGTTTTTCTACCCTGTTTGTTATAACAAACGGGAAATCTGACTATATCCTTAGAAGGCAAGACTGACAAAACACATGTGTAAGGTTGAGTAAGAATGAATAATAAAGGCTTTCCTTTTCTGCTTACTCCTGATTGGGAATTACCAGTCACTGGCGTGGAGCACAGGGGACACGGGCTGCCCGTCTGTGCTCTCCGCCCCGGCACTGGAGATTTCTGCCCAAACCCCGCCAGGGAGAAAGAGGCCTCTGTCTTGATGGCTTCCCGTCCCAGAAAAGCTGCCCTTCCTCTCCTGAGGCCTCTCCCACCCATACACAATGCCAAGGTGGAGAAAGGTAGCCACTGCTTACTTTTGCCTGGCACTGAACCGGTCTCGATGATCTGGGCAGTCATCGTCACCGGCTAGACAAGAGAACAAAGGCCAAGTGGGAGACGCTCCTCTGATGGTCTGTGCTAGAAAGCAGCGTCACTCCCTTGAGCCAGCTGGAACGACTTAGACACTTACAGATCTGCAGAGGCCCAAGACCGTCACAAGGAGATTAAGCGAGGGCAGTGTGGTCACTCGTGTTCCCTGGGCTGTGCTGCTTTGCCTGTGCACGGGGAATGGACAAAGGGAGAGCTCCGTGTCACTGAGCCTGGCTTTGCCCTCTCCCCTGCCAGCCCGTCCAGCACCATTTGCATCCAAACAGCCAAAGAAGAAGTCCAGGCAGAAAAGGGGCAAGTGGCGACAGCTGGATCTTGACTTGCCGTTACTTTCCCAAGGCAAGGCTGAGCAGCTCGGGCAGTGCTGCCCCGCAGCTGCCCCAGCAGTGCGGGTACCTCTGCCCCAACCCTCGAGCTGCCTTGCAGCTGCAGCTGGAGCATCCCACCAACGGCCACGGTGGCACCAGAGGTTTGCTATCCAGCAGGGCTTACCTGAGGATGGCGTCCAGCCAGAGTTCTTTCACCTCTTGCGAGCTGCAGGAGACAGGAGAACCAGTGTCACACCCCACTGCCACCAGCTAGGTGTTGTGCAGTTTTCCCTCCGGAGAACAAAGTCAAAGCCAAGGAGGGTCTGCTCATCATGCAGCCTCGTCTCTCCAGGAGTCCCTTTTGATGCTGCAACTCTGCAGCCTTTGGGATGCCCCTGGGCCGAGGAGCGCTGTCGCAGACATGGGGCTTCTCCAGAGCGGGGAGCGACAGCCCAGCTCTGCCAGAACTGCACCTGGGTTTTCCTGGGAGCAAACGGGACCGCCTGTCTGCACACAGCCCCCGCCTCAGCCCACGCCTTGCCTCACCCCTTTGACAGCGCACACCTTGTGCACGGGCTGTTTCCAGAGGGGAGAGGCTCAGCTCACAAAGAAGCCGAGCTGCAAAACGCTGCCCAAGCAAAGCGGTGCCTCTGCTTTCCCTCCCCGCCCCGTGCCGTGGACCTGAGGAGCCAGATGGGCTCTGAAGGCGAGCACTGGGCCAGACAGCCCAACGCCTGGGTGACACGTCACCGCGACTCACCCGAAAGTGACCCCGCAGAGGCTGGTGGGCCAGACGAGGATGAGGGTACAGCTGCAGTCCAGGCCCAACGCTGCGTCTTCTTGTGCACACCCGCACGCTGCCTCCTCCTGGCACAGCACCCACAGCTCGCTCAGACGCACCCTGTGCTGCAGCCAGAACCTGGTGCCACATCTGCAGCCAGGAAGAGCAGGGGCTGATGGTGAGCTTGCCTTCTGGGGGGGCACCCACGGCAATCCTCCCTGGGAGAGCCGCTACAGCTGACAGAGCCCTGGGAAGGGCTGCCCAGCTTCACAGCTCACCCAAATCGGCAACATCCTTGCCGGGGACACCCCCTGACTCTGGTAGCCCTGGTTGCTGAGTGGCTGACCCTCCCCAGAAAGCCTCCCTGGGACTTTCTGGGCCATTGGAGCAGTGGCCAGCCCGAGAGGGCTTTGCGAGATGTCTCCTGAGGGCTGGTATTGGAGGCAGGAGGTGGGAAGAGAGAGTACTGCCATCCTCTCTTCTTACCTGCGCTTGGCAAAAGCAAGGGTGTCTTGGAAAAGCAGGAGGTCTCTCCTCCTCGTCCTCCCACGCCAGGTCACCTCCACACAGTCGCAGCGGAGGAGCTCGGGATGCCGTCGGGACACGAGGGCACCCAGCTGGCTGCCACCAGAGCCGCCCCTGCAAAGGACACGGTTGCGGGCGTGAGGCACACGGCTCTGCCGGGAACAGGCCGTGCCCGGTGCCAGAGGGACAGAGCAGGCACGCACCGGGAGAAGCAGGAGGGCAGCTGGCCCATCGTGCTGCGGCCAGGCAGACACTTGGGCTGTGGAAGCGCTCAGCAAGGGGAAGAGCAAGGCCCCGCAAGGCCTTCCGAGGCTGGGCAGCGATGTCCCCTGCCGGGTGCTCCTGCCAGAGCCCGTCTCTCCCCAGCACTGCCCGCGCCAGCACAGTGCTGCACCGGGAGACACTGGTGTCCGTGACACCACTGGTGCCCCTTGTGATGCGCGGGGGGGCCACGCCCAGGGCGGGGGCACACAGCGGGCGGGGGGCTCCGGGGCACCAGGAGCTGCTCCTACTCGAATGGCTCTTCCCACACTCGCAGCAAACAACAGGAGCTCCCTCCAAGCTGAGGGTCCTGAACAAGGCAGAAAGCTGCGGGCGGGAGTCCCCTCGGAGCCAGGAGAGACGCTCTGTGCCCGGCCCCTGCCAGCTGAGCCAAGGCCTTCCAAAAGGCCCTTCAGCACCTCGGCTCCTGCTGCCGCCACCTCTCTGCGCATGGTGATGTTCAGTCCTTCCACCTGGTCCTCCAGACTGGGCCCAGGGCTCAGGCCAGCCTCGGCGAGACTCTGCGCTGCAGAAAAATGGGTAACAGCCTGGCTTTCCTGCTCCCACCAGGCTGCGCACAGGCAATCCTCGGCAGCAAAGCGCTGACAGCTGTGCTTAGGGAAGACACAAGAGCGGTGAGCTGAGGTCCCGGTGAGCACGCCAGTGTCAGCCCAGCAGTCCCACCAAAGCTGTCAGACTGCCCCAGAGCCCAGCCCCTTCGGTGCCACAGTGCATTTCTCTGCTTGGGCTGGCTCACAGACCTCCTGTCCCAGGGCACGAGCATCACGCCACAGGCCCAGCGTCCTCGAAGGCACCTACCCGAAATGTTCTGCTGACGTCGGAGGCATGTCCATGCCCGAGAGCTGCTCAGGACTCCTGGCAGGCAGCTACCGCAGTCCGTTTGCTGCCTTTGGAGCAACCTGAGCTCCCAGGGAGCAGCCCCAGACTCTTCTCTCGGGAGCGGGGCCTGAGCGGGGCGGGGGGCTGTCATTTGCTGCCAAGTAAAAAGGGAGCAGCGGCGTCCCTGGGAGCAGCCCAGGGGAGCTGGTTCTCTTCCGAGGCCACCAGTTTTGGGGGAAATACAGAGTGGCGCAGAGATGTTCCTCACTTATTTAGAAGAGGGGCTGGGGTGGCCTTGGATGCCTCCATGTGATCTCAGAGGGAACATGGTGGGTGTCAGCCCGCAGCGCGGTCAGGCCTTGGTGATCCCAAACTGCTGTGTGTGTAGGAGGAGCCAGGGAAGCTCGGGGAGTTTCTGGGGTTTCTGGGGGCAGGACATGGTGGTGCTGCATGGAGAAACTCCTGGGTCCCTTCCCATGGCTCCTGTTCCCCTGCTTTCCTCTGCAAGGAAATCCTTGATGGACTGCAAGGAGGAAGAGGTGGGAAGTGCTGCTTTCCACGCCTGGGGCCGCAGTGGGGGGGTCTGTCTGTGCCCAGTGGGGTGTGAGCAGAGGGGTGAGGGGAGGAGGGCTCCCTGACGGGAAGCAGCAGAGTCCTGGGGCCTTTCTGCAGGGAGGGCTGGGCCACCAGCATGGGGAGAAGCTCTCTCTCCTCCGGAGTGAGCCCTTCTCCCGTGGGGCAGAAGGGAAAGGGAAACCCCTGCCAGCGGGAAGGGCAGGCCAGTGTTCAGGGGATGCTGAGCACTAGGCAGACCTTCAGCCCTCCAAGCAGAGCCTCTCCTTCCCTCTTCAGGACAAGCAGGCTGTCCTTGGGGCGGTGGCCACCAGGACGGGGGTCCTTCTGGGTGAGGAGCAGCACCGCGAGCGTGCCTGGGAGCAGCTCCTCTGGCTCTTGCACCAAGATCAGGAGGTGCGAGACACTTCCCGGGTCAGCAAGGTGAGGTGTTGCGCAGGGCCCGGCGTGGCTGCTGGAGTGGGTCTGTGCCCGTGCCACGAGGCGCTGGGGAGCTGTGGGGTGCCAGGAGGAGCTGAGAAGCCCTTAGGGAAGGATCGGGGAGAGCAGAGGAGGCCTGAGGCTCTTTGGGCAAGAAAAGAAAAACCTTGGGTTCGGGGCAGGAGGGAGACAAGAGTCCTTAGGGCTCATCTCCTCAGGAAGGGAGGCACTGCCACCTCCCTGGAGCTCTGTGCAGGAAGAGCTTTGCCCTCATGCCCAGGGCCATGTCCAGTGCTGTCCAGTGAGGGCCGAGGTCTGCTGAGTGGGAAGTGCCAGGAAACAGAGTTGTCAACACCGGGCTCTGTTCAGAGGCAAGAGCCAACTCTGCACTTGTCTCTCTGGGACTTGCGGGACTGGATAAAGGGGAAGCCCTGGGACTCCCCGGTGTACTACGTGTTTCATGTCCTGGAGAGGTTGAGGTGAGGTCTGTTCCCCGGGCTCTGGGGATCCCCAGTGTGCCCCAGCCAGTGGCCTTGAGCATGGAGCCAGGAGCTGCTGGGGCTGCGGAGTGGGTATTCCCCACTTCAGATGTCTCCCAAAAGAAGGGGAGCCCCAGGGCTTCCTTAACCTGGGGGTGGGGGTTTGCCTGCTGCCTAGGAGGAGGCAGGAGTTGTTGGTGCTGAAGGCCCTGCTCGCTGGCATGGGCTGGGGGTGCTGGGTTTGAGGTCCTCGATTAGGGTGAACCCAGCTGTGGTTGAAGGCACTCTGGAGAGGGCTAGTAAATCCCCTTTCTGTTTTCTCTTCCTTTCTCCTCTGGCCAGCAAGCTGAGGCCACCTCTGAGCAGGGAGGAAAATCACAACCTGCTGTCAGTGTGCTGCCAGAGTGTCCTGGTCTGTGCTTCCGAGGAGCAGGTGAAGGAGGACAGGAAGACAGTGAGGGCAGCTGTGAGCATGCGGGTACCCCCCGGCCAGCGCCTGCCCACCTCTGGGTCAGGATCCCACCTCAGCGCACCCTGGCTGCCCCCGGGATGCAGAACCTCAGCTCTCCTTTCCTGATTTTAGCTTCTGCGTGGGAGAAACCTGGAAGATCTGGGCCTGCTCAGAGAAACCCTCTGGAGGCAGAGGTGACCTCCGCTGGCTTTGACTACGTGGTCCCTGTGAGTAGCCATGGGGCAACAGGGAAATTGTTGTGGAGGCAGAGAATCGAGGCCTTAGCAGGTGATAGGAGGTGGACGCCTTTCCTAGAGGAAGGTGGGGCTTTGGCTCCTTGCTCCAGGGCTGTGCGTCTGGCCGGGGCCAGGGGCTGAGCTGGGGGGCAGGAGCCCCCAGCCACTGCAGCCTCAGGACAGGCAGAGAGGTGGGTCCTGATGGAGGGAAAGCCAAGAGCCAGCCCTGAGCTGGGCGAGAGCAGCCTGGGGGAAGGCTGGAGCGGGGAGATGCTGGCCAGGAAGCAGCACCTGGCTCGGGGCAGAGTCAGCAGGAGAGAGCGGGGCAGCGAAGGCTGCAGTGCCAGGGCTTGGTGGGGCTGGGGGCTGTGCTGGGAAGGGGCCAGAGAAGGAGGGAGTAGGATCTCAGGGAGCGAAAGATTCCTGTTATGAGAGAGATGCACCTTGCCCCAGGTCCTGAAGGGCTGGCTCACCTCGGCCAAGGAATGGGAACGGGAGAGAGCCCTGTGGGTCTGTGCCCACGTGCTGGGTGCTTGCAAGGAGCGACTTGAGCTCATGGTGAATAGGGACCCCTGTGTGCCCTGGTGCCCCGTTACCACCATTCATGCCCCTGGAAGGGAGCCCTGCCTGATGGGGTGCTGGGTTTCGGGTCTCCTGGGATTACGGGGCAGCCCTTCTGTCTGCCCCTCTGCCGGTGGCTGCTCAGGGAGCAGGGTGGGTGGCAGAGGCGAGCGGGTGCTGGGGCTGCCTGCAGCCCTTTTCCTGCTGCTCTCCCCTGCAGAGAGGATGTCCTTGCAAGCAGTTCAGCTCCCTGGTGGGGCTGCTGGGGTTTCTGATTGCGGAGCGGCGGAGGAACGATATGCCGAGACGGACTCAATGTGGGTGATAAAGCATCGTTCAATTTATTGGTCCAGGGTACATATATTTATACAGACAACGCTAGTTATGATGCCTACTAGTCACTAGCTGATTGGCTTAAGCTCTAAAGGTCGTGTTCGCACGGTCCAACTACTTGCAGTTAGCTAACAGCACAAGTGTCTCATAACACTAAGTTTCTCAGGCCACTATTTCTAATTCCCCTTAACCTGTTTTCGACACACCACGGTACACAAGGCCGAAGCATCCTTGACATTCCTCATGTATCAGCAGCTGCGAGCAGCTGCAGGCAAACCCTAGTGAGGCCCAGCATCAGCAAGGCAGCATCTGTCCTTAGAACAGGCTCTGATCGTACAACTGCTCGGTGGGCTCAGGACCCTTGTCTGTGAGCCATTCTCCAACATCTGATCACCGACTGCATGGCCATGTCCTGCCAGAAGGCATTGGTCTGCCTTGGCTACCTTCTGCAAATGCAGGGTGAGGAGAGCAGATGCTTCCCATCCTCGCTTAGCCTGATGTCTTGGTTTGGGCTGAAATAGAGTTAATTTCCTTTTCAGGGACTAGATGAGTGCTGTGTTTTGGATTTAGCTTTGGGTTTGGTATGGGAAAAATGCTGATAGCACACTGATGTTTTCAGCTGCTACCGAGACTTCAAGGACTCTCCGACTCCCCATGTCCTGCCCGTGCGCAGGGCACAGGGAGCAGGGAGGGAGCACGGACAGAGCACCAGACCCAAACTGGCCAGTGAAATATTCCACACCATGGAACCTCATGCTCACTGTATAAAGGAGGGTGGTTGGGAAGGAGCTCTCTCGCTTCCGGGTTGCGCTTGCGGGATCTTGGTATCTCGGGGTCGCTGGCCGGGAACGGGCTGGGTATTGGTCAGCGGGTGGTGAGCAATTACGCTGTACATTGCCTGTTTATATATTTCTTTTTGTTTTCCCCCCATCGTTGCTATTGTTTTCGTTTTATTGCCATTATCAAACTGTTCTTATCTCAGCCTGCGAGTCTCCCTTCACCCCTCTGATCCCCCCCCCTTCCCAGGTGGGGAGGGGGAAGGGAGGGTGACCAGCTGCGGGGGTTGGCTGCCAATCAGGCCCAAACCACAACACCTGATCCTCCGTTCCTGGCCTGGCACCACGGGGGTCCCACGGGGCCAGGCCCCATTCCCGCAGGGCAGGGGGAGGCAAGGTGCTCGGCTGGTTTTGTGCCCCCACCCTGTTAGCCCTCTGCTTCCCCGGCCATCTCGGGAAGGATCCTGGGAGAGGGTCTCTGAGTCCCACCTCCCTGGGGTGTGTGTGAGGCTGGGTGGTCTGGGCCATCCCTCACAGCTGTCTGAGAGCAGGACATTGCCACCAATGCTGGTGAGTGTTCCCCTCCACGGGGAGGAGAGACAGAGGGTTGTTTGACAGCTCTCTTGGATGAGGTCCCCAATGTTTCAGAGGGTGCCGTCCCCCTCGCTGCCTGCCTTCAGCCTGGAGAGACGGGCAGTCTCCAAATTCAAGAAACCGCTGCCTGTGTGCTGAGCCAAGGAGCTACTGATGGTTTGAGCCATGCATCAGCACCTGCTGCTGGCACCGCTCCAGCTGATGACCAGGATAGGGGCGCTTCTTGTCCAGTCTCCCACTGGTCCAGGTCCTTCCCATGAGCAAGCACTGGGAGGCACCAACCTTGCCGTTCCTCCCCTTCCTGCGGGGTCACTCGCAGTCCTCCCTGCCCTGGGACCCACTTCACCCTGCTCGCTCTTCCCCGGTCCCCAGTTCCCTCTACTCTGGCTTTGCTGGGCACGCTAGGTTTTCCGCAGGTTGGACACTTGTTCGTTGCTCTCGGTGCTTTCCCCGGCTGTGGTGGTACCCAGCCTGCGAGCTGCCCTTCCTTTCGCCCCCAGTTGCTGCCCGTTTGTAGCCTGGGAGCCTCTGGCCTCGTGCTGTGCCTGCCCTGTCGAGGCTCCTGTTCTCCTCCTCCGCTGGCGCTGGGCT